GAGACCCACATACCAAGGCCACGTCCCCTCGACGCCCCGGCTGTGCCCTGCCCGGGGTCCCCCTCCGGAGACCCGGGGACGCGCCACCAAGCTCCCCCCCCCCCCCCCCGCCGCCCCCCCCCCCCCCCCGCCGCAGCGGGAGATAATACCCGGCGTTTGCCGGCATGATGAAGGTAAGCCGGGCGGGTTTGCTGCCAAAGCCCCCTCGTCCATCCTTTCGGGGGATGCGGAGTCGTAGAGGGACTTTTCTTTGGCAAACGAGGACAGCGGTAGTTTACTGATTTGTATTTACAAATTTTAATGCTCTCTCTTTTTTTTTTAATTATTATTATTATTATTTATGCTTTGCGAAGCCGATTTCTGTCCCCAAGAGACTTATTGTTTGAGGTTCAGAAGCAGGATGTGTGTGTGTGTGATTCTACCTCTTTCCATGTTCTTTCATTGCAGACAGCATGTGTCGAAAAGAAATAACGAGTCGGGAGGGAGAAGGGGGGGAAGGGAAGGTGTATAATTTCTTCGGGGGAGAGGAGGGGGATTTTTTACTTTTTATTTGTAACACGGGACTCTTAATGATTAAAAAAAAAAACAAAAACAAAAAAAACCCAACTGCAAAGGGTATGGTCTCCTGGTAGGCACCATGCTTTTTTATGCTTATGAGTTTATCATAGGTCTTATGTCTGCCATTGTACTAAAATAGACCGTGGGTAAAACCCAGTAACGTGTATTCAGAGGTTTTGAATAATTTCAGAAATAACTTTAAATAATGGAAGAGGACTTGGTGGTGGTGAACACTAATGTGAGAGATGAGCATCTGTAGGAACTATCCTTTTATAAATGTCATGTTTATGCTCTTCTGCTTAGTGAGGCTGATCTGGGGATTAAAAAGAAGTCTTCCTTGTCAAGACAAAGGGCATGGAGATAGCACGGGTGCTTTTCAATTAGATTGAGGGAACATCACAGCAACTTTATACCCTGTGTAACAGCTGCACTAAGAATAATTCTTGGGTTTTGAAGAAGGTCTGTGCTGGGCTGACTGTGGACTTCACAGCCACAGCCTGATGCCAAAGTTAACAGCTGAGGAAAAACAAGACTGAGTTATTTGCTCTCCTTGAGTAACTATAACAGATGGAATATAGGCACAAGAGGTACGTGACTGACAGGTGTCTCCCCAGCTCCTCTCTGCTGCTGATAACAAGCGTTACTCTCATCCCACCCTAGGTCTCATCAACGTTGCTCTGTCCTGGGTGGGATCAGCAGTGGTGCAGGTGTTACTGATGATGGCATGGCTTTTGTAGGAGCCTCAGGAGGCTCTGATTAGACACATTTGGACTTTCTGCAACTGGAGAGTGGCAGAGCAGCCATTGCAGAAAATTGATCTGAAACTGCTCAGGGAAAATACCCAAGCAGCTGCCCCCAGCCAGAATGCTTAGGGACGGAACGCAAGTGTGTCAAGGAGTGAGACAGGCTGTCAAGTTTTATATCCCTTTTTATGTACCTGTTGTGTGTCTAGGAAAGAGGGCACGACACTGGTCTTTGAGGTGTTATCCAGCACCTGGTGGTAATGTTCTGGCGCGCCCATGCTAAAATCAAGTAGCAGGGCAAGTCATAGACCTACCTCCTGTTTGCTCAAAGCAGTGCTGACATCTACTTGGGTTCTTGCCTGCACAAAACCTAACTTTGCTTTGTATTTTTACTGTAGAAAAGACAGCACGAAGTGATAGCTACAACACTAAAAGTACACTCTTGTCACTTGCAAGTGGTGTAGCCTTGGGCAAGTCAGTTCTGTCTGAGCCCTTTACCCTTTATTTGCTTCATCTGTTCAGACTGTAAGCTCTTCAGGGTTATAGTTGTTACTGTCTATTTGTAGAGCATTTATCAAAAGTGCAGAAAATTACCATTTGATTATTGTGATACTTATGCAAAACCCAAATAATTTGTAAAAGTATCGGTTGGCAACAGCATTATTACACCTCCTTATCCCTTCATCTTCCCCTTCATTGTTTCCTGCTTTTTTTAGTCACAACCCTCGCTTTCTCCTTGAACCGTTTCCAGCCCAACCTCAACCCTCTCTTTTTTTCTTTTTTCTTTTTTTTTTGCCTGTTTAAAGGAGTATGATGTATAAGAAATGAATTATGCCTCTAGTTTCTGCAGTCCTGCCTCGTCCACCTATTGCACTGATTGTTACTGACAGTCCTAGCACTCCTAGCAGTCATTGTGTGATCCAGTGGATATTCTGATCTTTCCCCTGGAAATTGAGTATTGAAATCTGCTGCAAAGTCACAGGTAAAAAAGAAGATTGCAAAATCATTAGGTAGCTTTAACACAGTTGATATCTTGCTAAATCAGTCCATAGGCCATATCTTTGGTTTAATCTGATAGAGGAAAATAATTCAAATGAAATTCACTGGTGATGAATTTATCCCAGGGAGGGCAATGTCAGGAAAGGAGGTAAACCAGCTCATTAATTGTGTAAGCACTCAGTTGCTCTCAATTCTTTCAGCCATTTAAAAAAAAAAAAAAAGTATTTGGTTTGGGCATGCTAAAGAATCAGAACAGACATTATTTTTGTTACTTCATTACGTTATACCACTTTCTTAAATGACTAATCATAGCTGAATGTATAGATTAGTAGTAGTTTTGAACCCAGGACCTTCAGTGTTAGAATAAAGGAGCTGGGGGTAAATTTTGTTTGGAAAATTTGCACAATTACTCTGCTTAGGCCACACACATGAGGACTGGCATCTTCATGTCACTACAGTGACATATTACGTACTTCACAGTGCTAGATAAGCTCATCAGAGACTTTATGAGCTGAAGCCACTCGGTACTGATTGTGGCTTTTGATAATAATTTGTGGCAATCCAACTGCCATGATGGCTGTAATGTAGAGATTAAATGCACAACCTTTATCTTCAATGCATGAATTTTAGTGATGCTTGGGCATAAATCAAAGCAGTATGTGACTTTAATTTGTTATTCATAATCACTTACATGCTGGCCACATGATATCTCCAATTCTTACATAGGATGAAGTGACTAGGTGGTCCCATTTACCTGGGAAACAATTTCATTACTTTATGACTTTAGACATTAAAGGGACAGGTAATATTACCTCATAAAATAGAGCACCTGTGGTAGAAGGGCAATTTTGCAAATATTACCATATGCTATTGCAGATGAAAATCCAGTGTTATGCTTATGTAAAGGCCTAATGTTGCCCTTTGGTGTGTATATGAAATGATGCAAAAGAGTTAACGTGAACTAAATGATTGAAACTATCTTTAAAATGATCAAGAAGTTTTACCCATCTGTCTTTTGTGCATCTTGGCCCATAGTTTATTACTGGTTTTACAAACTAATGTCACAGTACCCTTCCAACAGAGTTACTCATTTACTTTCTTCCCTTGAGGTCTGCAGTTTGTTCCAAGTTTTATTTTAGAGTATACCTGATGCATTAATGAAGTGCAGCATATGACTTCTCAGTAGGTACACAGCTGTTGCTAATTCAGTTTGCCTATTAGAGCATTTCACACAATACTTGATAAAAACACTCTTAGTAAGCACAGAAAAGAAATTGGTTCTCCTGGTGCATGAATAGGGTTTAATTCCACAAGGTTCTGATTGTATTAATTTCCACTAGCCTTCAGAGAGATCAGCGCCACACAAGTCCCATCCACTTGTTTAATTTTATTTAGACTGTTGTCTTAGGGGTCAGCACTTCGGTAATAAATGTTTGAATTTTGTGTTGCCCTTACTGAGAATGAGCTCTTTTTAAACTTTGACACTGAGAGGCTGAGGGAACAGGGTTTGTTCAGTCTGGAGAAGAGGAGACTTTTCGGTGACGTAATAGCAGCCTTCCAAAATGTGGAGGAAAATAAGGGAGATGGGGCCAGTCTTAGCAATGATGTACGGTCGGAGGACAAGAAACAACAGCATAAACTGAAATGAAAAAGGTTCAGACTGGATATTAGGAAAAAAGCCTCCCCGCAAGGATATTCAGGCAGTGGAACGGGTTGCCAAGAGAGGCTGTGCAGTCTCCGTCCTTGGGACCTCTCAAGACTCAACTGGATCAAAGCCTTGAGAAACCTGGTTTGAGCTCAGAGTTGACCCTGCTTTGAGCAGGGAGTTGGACTAGAGACTTCCTGAAGCACCTTCCAGCCTTGATTTTCCTATGGTCCTGGAAAAAAGCTTATGAAGTGTTTTTGTTTGTTTGGGTTTTGATTTTTGTTTTGGGGTTGGGTTTGTTTGTTTGTTTGGGTTTTTTTTAAATCCAGTCTTAGTCTTTGACACACTAGTGTGAATTAGTACATTTTTCCAGAGCTCTGCTTGCTGGGCTTTTGACAGTACAAATAACTCTGTGCAAAGATGGTCTTTAAAGACACCAGTATAGGCAGGTTTCTTTGCAGAAAGTAATTTCTTTGATGTGTCAGTATAGTAGTAATATTTTTTTCTTCTCTGTTATCTTGAGGAAGTCCAGGTGCTAAACAGAAGAATTTGAACGGTAATATCGGTGCAAGTCTCTTCACAAGAATGCTACTTTATTTGGACCCTTTGGAGTTTGTTTGTTGGGGATTTTTTTTTTTGGGGGGGGGGAGGGTGTTTTTCCCTGGGAGCCTGGTTGCTTTAATTACCTCATTAAGTAATTAATTAATTACCTCATGGCACAGTTTATCAATCCATCAATGTGTCTACCACTGAGCCAGGAAAGAGGACTATACCTCCTTCCTACTACACTCTCAACACCTTCCCTCTAAGTATTGTACTTTCTTTCCCCATCCACATCAGAGAGCCAAACTAGTACTTTTTCTCATAATCAGAATACATTCTGCTTTTGCCAGACTTTTTTTTTTTTTTTTTTTTTTTGCTTACCAGCTATTTTAAGAACAATTATTTAAACAAGGATCATTGTACCAGTAGGCACTGACCATGGGAAGGGAAGAGGTATGTCAAAACTCCTAGGGAAGTTACTAATGTCAAGGAAAAGTTAAGAGGATATCTCAGGAATTCAAACATCTTTTTCTTAAGGTTGAGGTTTTTATAACACTACTGGCTTTAAAATAAAAAAAAAAAAGCTTCTTGACGGTTTTGAAATGAATTCACAAGGTCATCTTTTTTGCTTCTTTTCAATGCAACTGACTGCAAGTAAAGCTCAATGCACTGTTAGAATTCTTAC